GCCAGGCTAGTCTCAAACTCCTGACCTCAGGAGTTTGATCTACCTGCTTTGGCTTCCCAAAGTGCTGGGATTACAGTTGTGAGCCACCGTGCCCGGCCATTCTTTGATTTTCAAAGGAGCTGACTCCTGAGACCTACTTGCTGACTCACTTTGGAGAGGGTCCACTTTATTTGGCAAGTATATAAGACAAAACCTTCTTAGAAAAGCTGCATGGTTTATATGTAGGTATATATGGTTTATTAAGAAAAATCTCAAACATAAAAATAGTAATATAATGATCCCTTATGCCTATCACATAATTTTAATAGTTATCAACATGTGGCCTATTTTATTTATTTGTTTATTTATTTATTTAGAGATGGAGTCTCGCCTTGTTGCCCAGGCAGCTAACTTTTATATTTTTAGTAGAGACGGTATTTTGCCCTGTTGGCCAGGCTGGTCTTGAACTCCTTACCTCAAGTGATAAATCAACCTCAGCCTCTCAAAGTCCCAGGATTACAGGCGTGAGCCACGGCACCCAGGCTATTTTGAAGCAAATTCCAGACTGGATATAATTCTATCCCTATGTGTCATACTTCCACATATATCTCTAAAAGATAAGGAAAAATTTTTTTAAACATCTAAAATGCCATTATCACTGTTTAAAATCACACATTTCCTTATTTTCTTAAGTACATGTTTGTGTAATTTTTTTTCCGATAACTTTTTGTTGTTTGTTTTTGAGTACTTAATGTTGTTCAAATCAGGATCCAAAGTCCACACATTGCTGTTGATTTCATGTCTCTTTCGGTCTCTCTTAACTCAAAAGGTTTCTATCCTGTTTTGGTTTTTCCTAGCCAATTTACTTCTGGAAGAAACCAAGCTATTTGACCTGTAGAATTTCCCACATTCTGGACTCTGCTGTTGCATCTTTGTAGTGTCATTTTACATATTCTTCTCCCATGTATTGCCTGTAAACTAGTGGTTGGACTAGAGGCTTGGTAAGAGGCCCAATTTTTTGGAAAAAAGACTGACTACATGGTAGTGTGGTCCTTCCTATTCTACAGCGTTAGGAAGCACACAGTGTCTCACAGTAATATGTTAGCTTTTGACAGAATGATTCTAGCCCAGTAATTGATGTTGTCAAATCCATTACTTCATTAGGGGTTTATCTGTGCTTCCTGTCAGCTTCAAGGTACTGCATTGGCTCTTTCAAGTCCAGGTTATTTATAAGATTTATAAGATCACTTTGGTCTCCTAGATGCTTCCTAGTGATTGAATTTTCCAAAGCTCCAGCTACCTATTCTTTCCATGAGTTCTAGTGGAGCACACGCACAGGGACTTTTCTCAAAGAGACTTTACTCTTTGAAAAAAGCCAAGCTGGGTGCTGTGGCTCATACCTGTAATCCCAGCTACTTGGGAGGCTAAAGCAAGAATATTGCTTGAGGCCAGGAGTTTGAGACCAGCCTGGGCAATATAGTAAGACCCTGTCTCTAAAAAAAAAAAAAAAAAAAAGAAGAGCCAAGGTAGGCAATATTTTGTCAGAGTAAGGCCTTAGAGGGAAGGATAGGATATAAAGGCTGTCAGAATAGCTTCTTTGGGAAAATGGAGAAAAAGACTTTTCCTTTAAATCTCTAGCCATTTGTTGCCTGGTAGTTTTGATGAATTGGTAGGCAATGTGATCATATAATTGACTAAATTGGAGAAGTAAATGTTCATGGAAAAGAGATTTTAAGCTAGGCACAGTGGCTCATTCCTGTAATCCCAGCACTTTGGGAAAATGAGGCAGGAGAATCACTTGAGGCTAGGAATTTCAGATTAGCTTGAACATAGCAAGACTCTTTCTCAATTTAGAAAAAGAAAAAGAGATTTTAAGTCCATCACTTGGATCCTAAGTTTCAACATGCAACTTTTTTTGTGACAAGGTTAGGAGAGTTCTTACTGCATTACAACAACAAAAAACCTTCTAATGTTCTGCAGCAAGAGAAAATTAAAAAAAAAAAAAAAAAATCCCTCCCAATTTGAGTTTTTCAGGCTGAGAAGTGCAGAGAGTGCCTTTAGCCTCTCACCTGCACTTAAGACCTCAAGTATTATGTCAGCCAGTCATCTAACTGGGTTGAAATGGTACAGTGTCATGTTGAAGTTTGCCTTCTAGAGTTTTAATGTTCAGAAATTTAAGTTTCAGAGACTCAAGAGCTACAGCCTCAAGGAGAAATAACTCCCCATTCAACAGCCTTATGATTATCTCCTATTTCAGATTGTATCCCTCAGCCACATAAAAAAAGACATCCTAGAACTGTTTCTGTTTACACTTCCCTGTGACTAGTTATCCATCCAGGGATGCCGAACTAACCTATCTTTTCTCTACCTTGTCTTCAGGAGCCAATGAAGTGCTTCTGGTGGTTGGGGGTTTCGGAAGCCAGCAGTCTCCTATCGACGTGGTAGAGAAATATGACCCCAAGACTCAGGAGTGGAGCTTTTTGCCGGTAAATAATGGTGAAACCATTTGTTAGGAGGGAGCTTAAATTCCTCAGTCTCTGGCTGCAGATCATAGCTAATCCAGCCGTAAGAGGAGAAAAGCCTAATAACAGGTTGTTTCTTACAACAGTCTTGTGCACATAGTAGGTACTCAGTAAACAGTTTTTGGCTGTTTAGATTAGAAGATTATACCTTAGAAATGTTAGTGGCCCTGTGTCAAGTTAAATCGGATGGCCACCACTAGTTAGGTGCTTTTCTGAGCTGTCTTTATAATTCCCAGCACATTTCATTGGTCATGTTTTGTTAAACTGAACCCAATGTTAAGTTGTGTTGAATTGAACCTAGTGTTCAATTGAGCTCAGAAGTTTGGACTGAGCGTGGTAGCTCACACCTGTAATTCCAGCACTTTGGGAGGCTGAGATGGGAGGATCTCTTAACGCCAGGCGTTCAAGACCAGCCTGGGCAATATGGTGAGACTCTGTTTCTACAAAAAAGTAAACAGAAAAATTAGCCAGGTGGTGCATGCCTGTAGTCCTAGCTGCTTGGGAGGCTGTGATAGAAGATTGCTTGAGCCCAGGAGTTCGAGGTTGCAGTGAGCTGTGATTGTGCCACTGTATTCCAACCTGGGTGACAGAGTGAGATCCCAACTCAGAAAAAAAAAAGTTTTTATCTGTCTCCCTCAGCATGTCTCTCAGTGCCGAATGAACAATAGTAATTTCTGAGAAAACATGGAAATCCAATCCTCCTACCTTTTAAGGTTCTTATAATAAATCCTGGCCCTTTGATTAGCAATGCAGGAATACTTTTCCACTGTCTGGAAGGATATCAGTCTCTTAGCCCAGTGCCTTATGGAAAAGAAAGGAGTCAGATACTGGATAACAGAAAGCTGTTAAATCTTTTGAAAGCCTTGGAAAGAGGCAGATGTGCAGAAAGCTTACATCTTTAAGAGACCCACAGAAAGCATTTCCTTCAGTAGGTAGCCGTCTGGGAGCCACTTGAGGATGAACCACTCAAGGAGGGTTCATGATGACAGGTGAAGAAGCATAGAGGTGTGTAGATACAACAGGGAAGATAGCAAAAGGTAAGGCCCAAAACTTGCCTAACTGAAATGCTCTGTACCTTTTCTCTCCAAATCCATAGAGCATCACTCGTAAGAGACGTTATGTGGCCTCAGTGTCCCTACATGACCGGATCTACGTCATTGGTGGCTATGATGGCCGTTCCCGCCTTAGTTCAGTGGAATGTCTAGACTACACAGCAGATGAGGATGGGGTCTGGTATTCTGTGGCCCCTATGAATGTCCGACGAGGTCTTGCTGGAGCCACCACCCTGGGAGGTAGGCTTGATATGCAGGGCAATATTTCCATCTTACTGTGGCTGGACCAGGGTTTTTAACCTCTCATGTTTTCTGGCAGGAGCATGAAATAGAAAAAATATGAGGTCAAACATTATTATTAATTGAGACAGGATCTCTCTCTGTTGCCCAGGCTGGAGTGCAGTGGTGTAACCACGGCTCACTACAGCCTCAACCTCCCCAAGCTCAAGCGATCCTCCCACCTCAGCTTCCCGAGTAGCTGGGACTACAGGTGTGCACCATCATGCCCAGCTATTTTTATGTATTTTTAGTAGAGACAGGGTTTTGCCATGTTGCCCAGGCTGATCTCTTAACTCCTGAGCTCAAGTGACTCACCCGCCTCGGCCTCCCAAGGTGCTGAGATTACAAGTGTGAGCCGCTGCGCCCAGCCGACAAATACTCTTTTTGCTTTCAGAAATATCAGTGTAATAGAAGCTGTTCAATATTCATGGGTGTTTCAGTACCGACTATAAAGTTGGCAAATCAAGTTCTAATGTGCTGGGTGGGGAACTGGCACTGGTTGTTGTATTTTTGCAAATTCCCAAGTAGTTTTTGAATGCTTCTAAGGATTTTATTTTACCCCATTCTTTTTAGATGTCTTTCTTGTCTGTAAAACTTAATTGACTTATCTCATTAAAAAATAATTTGTTTTTGCTCTCAGACTTTTAAAGGACACTTGAAAATTTTGTAGAGGAAAGAGTTGTAGAAATCTCTCATTCTGGGCCGGGCGCGGTGGCTCAAGCCTGTAATCCCAGCACTTTGGGAGGCCGAGGCGGGTGGATCATGAGGTCAAGAGATCGAGACCATCCTGGTCAACATGGTGAAAC